TGGCAAAGGACGAGTCAGGTCGTCCCTTCTTTGACGTGCCTGCTAGGTTTGGGAACCTAGGTATGGAGTCTTTCTTGTTTTCTTTTTTCTCTTTTGATTTCCTGACTTTCACATCTAACTCGAACTTTCGTTTGCTTTGTGCAGTATCAATTAAGCCGATTCCCGAGCTCACTCAAGCCACCTTCGACACCTTCAAATACTACAAGGACAACTTTCCAAGGGGCCGGAAGATCAGGACCTTAGTAACTGACAAGCTGCTGCTAGAATCAGGGCTATTGGACTACAATCCTTTAGTTCGTCCGATTGAAGCTTCGAGGCCAAACTCCAAGCTCGGTAAGCCATGTTTGACTTCGACTTCAATTTTAGCTTCAAGTTTTTACCTCTGACATTTCATCTTATTCGTATTGCAGCCATGGTGTGTGGATTCACGAGCAGCGTGAAACGTAAGTCTAAGGGCCGTGCTCACGCCCTTAAGACAGTTCAGAGCTCTGATCCAGCTACCCCTGCTGTGGATCAGCATGGAGCTCAGGACCGAGCGGGTCCATCTTCTGAAGTTCCAACTCCAGTGATCGAGCTGGATTCTACTGGGGAGCGCTCCAGGGAGAAGCGCTCGAGGAGCGAGTCCGAAGCACTGGACGTGTCACCTCTTCGTGAGGTGAGAGAGGGTTCTCCTCGGAAGAGGAGGAAGAAAAAGAAGAAGACCACCTTTTCCTCGAAGGTTGGACCTCGTGGCCCCCTGCCCTCAAGCCACGCCGACCTGGTAGACGACCTTGAAGCTCGGATGGGGGACATCCGACGTGAAGATGCGGTTCAGAGTGGAATCGTCGAGCTCCGGGGTGAAAGACCAAGTGTCACGCATCTCGGCCGCGTGCTTGGATCGCTGTCTCAGGAGAGCGTCTAAGTTTGTAAGTGACCTGGGGTTCGTGCTGCAACGTACCATCGACCACGCTGCTGAGGTAAGATCTACCCCTACACTTATTTTCTCGTCTTATAGCTCGATCTGTCCTAGATTTGCCTTTTGTGTATTGCAGGCGTTCATTGTCTCCATCCACTCAACAATCATGATCAAGGCCGAGCTGGATGGAAGGGAAGCCTTGACAGCGAAAGAGAGGGCAAACTCATCTGCTGCCTTGGAGGCTGCCACCACGCTCAAGGGCGAGCTGTTGAAGGCTCGGGGCGAGGTGGACGTATTGAGGGTCGAGGTAGAATCCAAGGCCGAACTGCTGAAAAGGGAGGATGAAAAGCATAAAGCCCACCTCCGAGCTGCCCACGCCATCACCAAAGGGCTGGAGAAGGAGAAGGACGACATGCTCCAGGCCTTCGAAGGGAAGGACGCTACGATCGGGCGTCTCACTGCCGAGCTGAAGGCGGAGAAGGAGCGCCTTTCCAATGGAACTCTTCTGGAGGCGGCCTTCAGGCAACACCCAGATTTTGATGGGTTTGCCAAGAACTTCAGCGATGCAGGCTTCAAGTTTCTGATGAAGGGCATTGCTGCCGATATGCCGCACCTCCAGCTCGACCTCGGCGATCTGAAGAAGAGGTATGCTGAGAAATGGGCTTCTGGGCCTAACGGCACTCTTGGCCCCCAATCCCTAGTGGACAAGTACGTCAGGGAGCTTGACTCTGATTACTCCGACGTGGAGGAAGAGGATGCCCTAAGCCAAGAGCCTACCGAGGTCGGCACAACTCAAGAGGAGGCTCCATCACAGCAGGGTGGATCCCAGGAGGTCAACCTTCTAGGCTCCCAGGGCGAGCTGTCCTCCCACCTCGGAAGTAGCTGAGGCTCTCTTTCCTTCCATCTTTATATTTCTTTTTGTAAGTCTTTGGGCAGAGCTGCAAGGTATATAAGCCTTCGCTCTGTCCTTTTAATCAATGAAAGCCTCCATTTCTCCATCTCTGTCTGTTCTTTTACTGCTTATTCCTTGAACTTTTTAAACTTGCTTTTGTAAGTCGGAACTTAAGAATGAACAAATTCATCTCGCATCTCTAACTCATAAGTTTAAAGGATTGTGGGATAACTCTTTTCACATTGCACCTCTTTCCGAAGGTTTGAATTTGAGAGTTTCTTTTACTAATCTTAAATATTTCTCCTCGAACTCGAAAGTCCAAAGAGATAATATCAAGCAATTTGAACTTTTCTACATCGCACCTTTAACTTGAACGTTGAAAGGTTTGAATTTTGAGTCCTTGACTAATATTCACATCGCACCTCGAACCCGTGGGTTTGGAGGATTGAATTTCTTGAACGAGGATTGAATTTCTTGAACCTTCAACATCGCACCTTTAATTTAATCGTTCCAAGGATTGGATTTTGGCTCGTAATTGATTTTGACATCGTACCTCGAACCCGTGGGTTCTGAGGTTGCCGATTTTAAGTCTTATGGGAGTCCGTGACCCCGATTTAATTTCTAATCGAACTTGGAGTTATGAAATTAAATAACCCTATTTATTGAAAGTTCCTCCCCTTGAAAATTTTTACAAGCCCATTTTGGGACTATTTTGACAATTCAGGGGTAATAGCGCTTCAAGTGCTCCGCGTTCCATGGATGCGCAAGCATTCTTCCTTCCAGGTCGKCCAGCATATAAGTTCCAGGTCGGACTATGCCTTTGACTTCGAACGGTCCCTCCCAACTTGGGTCAAGGGTGCCGACATGACTCTGAATTTTCCTTAAGACCAAATGTCCAACTTGGAAGCTTCGAGGTCGAACTCGGGCATTGTAATGTCTGGCCATTCTGTTCTGATACTTTGCTAAGCGTAGCTGAGCCATTTCCCTTTTCTCTTCCAATAAGTCCAGGTTAAGGAGTAGCTCTTCCTCGTTCTTTGTTGGCTCGTACTGCTCTACCCTGTCTGTTGGTATGCCGATTTCTACTGGTACCACGGCTTCGGAGCCAAAGGCTAGCGAGAATGGAGTTTCGCCAGTTGACTCTCTTGGGGTGGTTCGATATGACCACAGAACTTCAGGTAGCTCCTCGGTCGGAGTCCAACTTTAGCTTGAGTCATCGCTTTATGATCTTGTTTACTGCTTCAACCTTCCCATCTGCTTTTGGATGCGCAGGGGACGAGCTGAGGTGGCTTATGCCCAGTTTTCTGCAGAAGTCCTTGAACTTTGCATTGTCAAACTGTTTTCCGTTGTCCGTCACAATAGCATTGGGTATGCCAAAGTGGCACACGATGTTTGTCCATATGAACGTCGTGACCCTGGACTCTGTGATGTGGGATAGTGTCTCGGCTTCGGCCCACTTGGTGAAGTAGTCCATAGCGACAACGGCGAACTTTGTTTGTCCTTTGCCCAGGGGAAAAAGACCTATGATGTCTACCCCCCATTGCGCAAATGGCCATGGGGCCGAGATGGGGGTGAGCAGTTCGGGAGGTTGATGGATAACGTTTGCGAAACGCTGGCAGTTGTCACAAGCTTTCACAAACTGCTTGGCATCCTGCTCGACACTGGGCCAATAGTACCCTTGTCGAACCACCTTGGCCGACAATGACCTGGCGCCAGAGTGGTTTCCACACACCCCTTCATGAACTTCCCTAAGAATGTAAAGGCCTTCTTCGGGAGTCACACACTTGAGGAGAGGCAGGGAGAAGCCACGTCGGTACAACATTCCTTCTCGGAGTGTGAACCGAGCCGCTCTTCGCGCCATCTTCTTTTACTTCTTCGGATCTTGCGGTGGGTTTCCTTTGATGAACTCCACGATTGGATCCATCCAAGTGGATGATGGAGTATCAACCTCCATTACATCTGGCTCCAAGATTGAAGGAGTGTCCAAGATCTCGACCGGGACCGATCTAGCCAGGTCGGTCTTGTACGCTGATACCAATTTAGCTAAGGCATCCGCATTAGAGTTTTCAGATCTTGGAACTTGACTCACCTCGTAAGTCCCGAACTGGGCGAGGTGCGATCTGACCTTGCTTAGATATTTTTCCATTCGGGGGTCCTTCGTTTGGTAGTCCTCCTTGATCTGATTTACAATTAGTTGGGAGTCACTAAAGACCTTAATGTGAATGGCCACCAGTTCTTTGGCAACGAGCAGGCCTGCTAGGAGTGCTTCATACTCGGTCTCATTATTCGACGTCCGAAAGTTGAATCGCAAAGCATACTCGAATCGCTCACCTCCTGGTGCGAGCAAGAGGATTCCTGCCCCGCACCCCTTCTCGTTGGAAGATCCATCAACGTAGATCGTCCACGGGAGGTCGGACTTGGCCAACTGAGGTGGTGGAGTGAGCTCGAACTGGATGTCGTACTCGCTCAATTCCATTGCCCACTTCATCAGACGCCCTGACGTTTCAGGCTTACTGAAGATATTCCTCAGGGGCAAGTTTGTAAGTACTATGACAGTGTGTGCTTGGAAGTACGGCCTAAGTCTTCGGGCCTAGGTGACTAATGCGAGGGCCAGCTTCTCCATTTGGGGATATCTGGTCTCGGCCTCAGTCATGGCCTTACTGGTGTAATAAACGGGACTTTNAGCTGTTGAGGAAATGGTTGGAGCTAAGAGTAACTGGTAGTGTTAATTGGAGAGTAGAGAAAGTTGTGAAGCTCTCAATCTACTGTTATCTTTCTGTTCTCATTGGATGACTGTTTTGTTGGTGTTCTGATCATGTGTGGAATTTGGGATGTGGAGCATGTAGCATCTTCGTCCTTTTTAGTGAGGGGAATTTGGAAAATTAATGTTCATGGATCCTTAACTTTGTTCTTGGTTAACTAAGATTACAGATCCTCAATGTTTACTTCTTATTTGTTCTCAGAACGCGGCCTGTTTGAGTTTATTTTCCGATGGGTTCTGATTTGTTCGTCCGTCTGTTTATGATACAAAATGACACAGGGTGTCAAGTTTTGAACAAGCTGATGTCTCTCTGTTTAGTCTGTTATCTCCTGGGATAATTTATAGTTTTGTTTTGTTTTGTATTGTATTACTGTTGTCGGTATTGAGACAGGTTATTTAGTAGGTGATATGACTTCTGAGAAATAGTTATTTACTCTTGAACAGGTGTGGCATGATACAGTTCAGATGTATTCTGGGCTTTAAATTTGGATCTGCCTCTCTGGACTGTGGAACATCTCTTTTATTCAACTGGTTTTGGATTTTCTGTTTCAATGGCAAACCATGACCTGATACTTGGACAAAACCACAATTTAGCTCTTGGGCAGAACCAACAGTTGATGTTAGGCCACAATCATAATATGGGTCTTGGTCAGGGTCACAATTTGGACCTAGGACAGGCACATGAGTTGGGTTTAGGACATGCCCATGACCATCCAGAGGGTCTGGTACATTCCCATGATCACGAGGGCTTGGGACGCAGTCACGATCATGAGTTGGGTTTAGGGCAAAGTCATGACCAAAGAGTGGACGATGATCACGATTATGGGCAAGAAAGTGATATGGGTATCGATAGGAAACCTGACCAAGTTGGGCATCAGTTGTCTCTTCCTTTACATGGCCATGAGTTAGGTTTGTCAGCAAACAATCAGTTAGATGTTTCAGAAAACCATGAACTTGATGAGAATCTTGAACTAGCTGTGGATCAGAATGACGAATTGGCAATTGAATCTGTTGATGATTTGGCAGCCCAGCAGTCTCAACTTGTGGTTACACCCGGTTCTGTGCTTCAGGCTCGCACGATCGTTGCAGCTCCTACTTATGAGCTTTCGGTGGGACAAGAGTTCCCTGATGTTAAGAGCTGTAGGAGGGCTCTAAGGGACACTGCTATTGCCTTGCACTTTGAAATGCAAACCATCAAATCTGATAAAACTCGCTTTACGGCCAGATGTGCTGCTGATGGATGCCCATGGCGTATTCATGCTGCAAAGCTTCCAGGCGTTCCAACCTTCACTATCAGAACAATTCATGACACTCATTCATGTGGTGGAATTAATCATCTCGGCCACCAGCAAGCGTCTGTTCAGTGGGTTGCAAGCTCCATGGAGCAACGATTGCGAGAGAATCCTAATTATAAACCAAAGGAGATACTTGAGGAGATTCACCGTGTTCATGGTATAACATTATCGTACAAGCAAGCTTGGAGGGGCAAGGAGCGTATCATGGCTGCCATGCGCGGTTCATTTGAAGAAGGATATCGCTTGCTTCCACAGTATTGCGAACAGGTTAAAAGAACAAACCCAGGAAGCATTGCATTAGTCTATGGAGATTCAACCGATAGCAGCTTCCAACGTCTCTTCATATCTTTCCAGGCATCGATTTATGGCTTTCTAAATGCTTGTCGTCCTTTGCTCGGGCTTGATAGAACATACTTGAAAAGCAAATATCTTGGCACTTTACTTCTTGCCACTGGTTTTGATGGTGACGGTGCTCTGTTCCCTCTGGCCTTCGGTGTTGTTGATGAGGAGAATGATGACAATTGGATGTGGTTTCTCTCTGAGCTTCATAACCTCCTTGAGATAAATACCGAAAACATGCCGAGATTGACAATTTTATCGGACAGACTAAAATGCATCGTTGATGGGGTGGAAGCGAATTTTCCAACTGCTTTCCATGGGTTTTGCATGCGGCATTTGAGTGAAAGCTTTCGTAAAGAGTTCAATAATCCAATGCTTGTTAGACTTCTTTGGGATGCTGCATATGCTCTCACAGTGATTGAATTTGAAGCAAAAGTTTTGGAAATCGAAGAGATATCACAAGATGCCGCATATTGGATTCGCCGAATTCCCCCTCGCCTATGGGCTACAGCTTACTTTGAGGGGACGAGGTTCGGGTATTTAACTGCAAACATTATCGAATCCTTAAACACTTGGATCTCAGAAGCCTCCGGGCTTCCTATAATTCAAATGATGGAGTGCATTAGGAGGCAGCTAATGACATGGTTCAATGAAAGGCGAGAGACCAGTATGCAGTGGACATCGATACTTGTCCCTACTGCTGAGAGGCGTGTTGCCGAGGCTCTCGAGCGTGCACGTACCTATCAAGTGCTTCGAGCAAATGAAGCTGAATTTGAAGTTATATCCCATGAAGGAACAAACATCGTGGACATTCGTAACCGTTGCTGCCTTTGTCGGGGCTGGCAGCTCTATGGTTTGCCATGCGCTCACGCTGTGGCAGCTCTTCTATCATGCAGACAGAACGTTCATCGATTCACAGAGAGTTGTTTCACGGTCGCAACGTATCGGAAGTCTTACTCGCAGACAATTCATCCAATCCCCGATAAGTCTTTATGGAAAGAAATATCTGAGAACGATGCAGATGCAAATAAAGCTTTGGTGGAGGTAGTTATAAACCCGCCAAAATCACTCAAGCCCCCGGGCCGACCAAGAAAAAGGAGAGTTCGAGCAGAGGACCGCGGGCGTGTCAAACGTGTTGTTCATTGCAGCCGTTGCAACCAGACGGGGCATTTTAGAACAACATGTGCAGCACCCATTTAAGTAGTGTTTGTTTTCGTTCGTCTTTTTCCATTTTTTGGTCAGAATTGAACTTGGGGTTGGCGATATCTGTATGTGCAAATCAATTATTTACTGTTTAATTAGTGGATATTAGCAGTTTTTTTTTATTATTTTTTTTTTCTCTTTTGAGTACAGAATATAAGCAGGTTTACATAGTAGTAGTAAAGTAAAATCATCCATTTTAGTTGGATTCCATTATTCGGAACTTTCTTTCATGTATTTTAAGTTGAAAGGGAGGGGGCATTTTGCAAACAAACACACACAAGATGTTGAAGGTCGTTTATTTTTAATTTTTTGTTTATTTAATTTTTAATTTTTTGTTTATTTAATTTTTATTTTTTAACTTATTAATATTTATTTTAATCCATAAAATTTTAAAAGAATATTTAGTTTTTTAGACTTTTTAAATGTACTAGTATGATATACCTCGGTGTACGTGCAATTTCATGGTTTTATTTAAATTATAAAAACATAAAAATTAATTAAATAGTTATAACTGGCAACTGTCGATTATTTCAAAAATACTTATTAATAACTGGACTATTTTTAACTCACTAATTATTTTTTTATTTTTTTATTTTTCATATTTATCTCATAAAATCACATCTCATTAATTTTCATAACCCACCAATCCAGTTAATGTGACAAAAAAATTGGCAACTGTCGATTATTTCAAAAATTCTCTTAAAATACAATAAGCAATAATAAACAACTTAACACATATTGCTCGATTACTTGAATTTTTTTTCTTAAAAAAACACATATTCATGCTTTTTTGTTTTTTTTTCCATTAAACATAATGATGAATAAAAAGAAATAAAACTTTGTTTTGATTTTTTATTTGAGTCATTGAAAAAGAAAATGACATATAAGAAAAAATAAAGAGAGAAAGAAAGAAATACAAGTACGTCGGTTTTATGAATAAATTACTTATATATTGTAGGTAATTAAATCTTCTTTAAAATGACAATTATTAACATTGTATTGAAAAAAAAATAAAAGTTAAATATTATATAAAACAATCTAACTAAAATACAAGAAAATACAAGACATTGATTAAAGGAGAAAAAATACATAAGGATAAAGAATTCTCAAGTTTTGTTGAGAAAAAAGTTTGGAGAAAAAGTAAGAAAAATATTTTATATAGTTGCAGAAGATAATAGTTACAAAACTTTTGAAATTACTTCTAAATTATAATTAAAAATAAGTTATAAGTTTTTAAATTAATTCATAAAAATAAAAAGACAGAACTTTACCTATTTTAACTTTTTACATCCCAACATTTGAGGGTTTTTGGGCTCAATAGCCCTTTCCACACAGTAATATTGATTTTTAGTCCATTTTTTTAAAACTCATGTTTTCTAATTTTTTTCTTACATCACTTAGATACAAAATGACTCTTACTACCCTCCACTATTCCCGCTCTCTATCTCCCTCCCTCTCTTTTTCCATAATTTTTTATTCAATCTCTCATTTTCAATTAATCATTCTTTCTTTATTTTTCTCTTCCTTCTTTTCTTCACTTTATCTTCCTTTTTTTTTTTCTTTTACTAGCAACCTTCATGATTTCGGTGACATTCAATAGTCGTTGATGAGTGCATCAAAGTTGACACTACAAGAATTTTGACTTCTGGTGATGGAATCTTCGGCAACCAAAGATACTTTCGTCGCCAAAAGGCATCTTTGGCGACCAAATAATTTTTCGTTGCTAATAGTGAGGGTTTTGACAACAAAGCAACATTCCATCGCCCTAAACTGCCTTTCTGCGATGAAATGAGGATTTCGTCACTGAAATGACCGGTTTTGGCGACAAAATTACAGTTTCGTCGCCGAAAATTCCGCCATCTTTCCCCACCATGGAAATAAAGTGGCTTTCGGCGCAAAAAAATTGGCTTGTTTCGTCGCCGAAGCCACTTTATCCATGGAAATAAAGTGGCTTTCGACGACGAGATGAAGATTTCGTCGCTGAAAGGAGGCATTTTCGGCGACGAAACAGGTTTCGTCGCCAAAACCCGTCCTTTCAGCAACGAAATCCTCATTTAATCGTCGAAATCCACTTTATTTTCATGGGAAAAAAATGGTGGGCATTTTCGGCGACAAAACCATGATTTCGTAGCCAAAAGGTCAATTCAAATTGTTTTCAGCTACGATTTTGTAGCCTTTGGCGATGACTTTAAAGTTGTCGCCAAAGGTTGCCCTAAAAATCGATTTTGCCTTCCTCATTTCTTCATTTCTCTTCCTCTCATCTCTCTCACCNTGACTCACCTCGTAAGTCCCGAACTGGGCGAGGTGCGATCTGACCTTGCTAAGATATTTTTCCATTCGGGGGTCCTTCGTTTGGTACTCCTCCTTGATCTGATTTACAACTAGCTGGGAGTCACTAAAGACCTTAATGTGAATGGCCACCAGTTCTTTGGCAACGAGCAGGCCTGCTAGGAGTGCTTCATACTCGGCCTCATTATTCGACGTTCGAAAGTTGAATCGCAGAGCATACTCGAATCGCTCACCTTCTGGTGCGAGCAAGAGGATTCCTGCCCCGCACCCCTTCTCGTTGGAAGATCCATCAACGTAGATCGTCCACGGGAGGTCGGACTTGGCCAACTGAGGTGGTGGAGTGAGCTCGAACTGGATGTCGTACTCGCTCAATTCCATTGCCCACTTCATCAGACGCCCTGACGTTTCAGGCTTACTGAAGATATTCCTCAGGGGCAAGTTTGTAAGTACTATGACAGTGTGTGCTTGGAAGTACGGCCTAAGTCTTCGGGCCTAGGTGACTAATGCGAGGGCCAGCTTCTCCATTTGGGGGTATCTGGTCTCGGCTTCGGTCATGGCCTGATTGGTATAATAAACGGGGCTTTGGCTCGCACCCTCCTGCTTGATCAGTGCCGAGCTGACGGCGCTATCTGATACTGTCAGGTAGAAGTGGAGCTTCTCTCCTGGCAATGGTTTTGCAAGTAGAGGTGCCGAGCATAGATAGTTTTTTAACTGCTCTAATGCTTGCTCACACTCTACCGTCCATTCAAACGGTCCTTTCTTCCTAAGGACCTTGAAGAAAGGAAGGCACTTGTCCGTTGATCTTGACACGGACCTATTCAAGGCTGCAATCCTGCCATTGAGACACTGCAGTTGTTTTAGAGTCTTGGGCGCCTCGATCTCGAGCACGGCCTTTATCTTCTCTGGGTTAGCTTCAATCCCTCGGTTATTTACCATAAAACCAAGGAACTTTCCCGAGGAGACTCCAAAGGCACACTTGGCCGGATTGAGCTTCATTTGATACTTGCGTAGCACTCCAAAGGCTTCGGTCAGGTCAGAAAGATGCGACTTTGACTGCTTGCTCTTGACAAGCATGTCGTCCACATACACTTCCATATTCCGACCGATCTGCTTGGCGAACATTTTGTTCACCATCCTTTGGTAGGTCGCACCTGCATTCTTTAGGCCAAAAGGCATCACCTTGTAATAGTACAGACCTTGGTCTGTAATAAACGCGATATGATCTTGGTCTGGCAAGTGCATTTTAATTTGGTTGTATCCGGAGTAGGCATCCATGAAGGTGAACAGCTCGTGCCTGGCCGTTGCATCCATGAGCTGTCGATCCTCGGAAGGGGGAAGCAATCTTTTGGGCATGCCTTATTTAGATTTGTAAAGTCCACGCACATCCTCCACTTCCCGTTGGATTTTTTAACTAATACTACATTAGAGAGCCACTCGGGATACAGAATTTCTCGTATATATTCAACTTTTAAAAGTTTGTTTACTTCCTCAACAATTACATCACTCATCTCCTTATTTACAGGTCTTCTTTTTTGCTTTACAGGTCGGAATGATGGGTCTATGTTGAGGCGATGCACCATGATCTTCGGGTCGATGTCAGGCATGTCCTCGTGAGACCATGCGAAGACGTCCGAGTTAGACCTGAGGAAGTTGAT